GTGTTTTACATATCTCTGGGTTTTTCTCACCAGCGGTAGATGATTTTCTAAATATAAGCAAATAGTCAGTGAGCCAAAGGTTGCCCATTACCTGAAGGCAGAGCCCTCACGTGCTTTCTGGTCCAACCCTTCCACACAATGTGTAAAGTTCCTTTTTTAGCCTCTGCTTGATTTCCAGCCCCAGCCTTTCCCTGGCAGTTCCCAGTCCCAGCCCTGAGCTCAGAGCTGAACCCCTGCCAGCCCAACGTGACTTCTCTTCCTGTAAGAGAGACAAAAGAAAACGACCTTCTGCTTCCTCTCCCTGTCTGCCCAGCGGATTCCAGCGCCGATGTAGGAGTTGCTCCTTGTTGCAAACCCTCACATGATGTTGCAGTCATCGGTATTACCAAAAGACCCGGGTTTGCATGAAAACAGCCGCACAGACGCTGCAGTCACATGGAGATACTGGCCTTTTCTTTTAGGGTAATTACTTTGGTGGTTGAAACAAGTGCAAAAGTAGTCATCGGGCTGATCAAACTGTGTCATCATCCCCCGTTGGAAGCAAGCCTCTTCGGTTTTGCCTGCCTGCAGCTGACTTGGGAGCCCCCAGCTCTGCTGACCTATTGTGAGTTTCTCCTGGGCATCATCTTTGCCCTCTGTAGCCACATCAGTAACAAAAACAAGATGACTAGAAGAAGTCACAGGACTGCTCTCCTATCAGTGTTTTATGGGTGTATGAAGAAAGCAGTAGTATTTACTCTCATGTGATGTCTCTGCTTCAAAAGGTCACTCGCATTTCCAGTGACATAGAAGGAGCTGACCCCAAATGCAAACGAGCCCCTTCTGCAGTCAGTAGCTGGCAGGGAACGACCATCCCACAAACAAGTGTCACACCAGCCCAGGATGCCTCGAGCTGTTCTTTATTTCTGAAGCATGTAGCTAAGAGTTTGAGTTTTTGCTTAACACCAAGCTATAGGGAGTGATTTTTCAGAAGTACCAGTGTGGAATTACAGGTCTGAATTTTCCCAGTGTCCTGCCTTATGAAAAAGATTCTCATTTTGGGTTTATATTAGCAAAAAAAGATATGTATTTAGTGCAGCACATACCCAGAGATGACCAGCTCAGACCTTGGAGTGTTACAGCTGTGGGCAGGGGGCTGGACAGACGTTGAGGTGTTTTGCTTTGCTGTTCAGTACTCGAGATGAGTGCTCCACGCATGCTACGAGGATGTGCCTGTTCACTTTAGCTCAGTCCCAGCAATTACACAATCATCGACGTTGCCTAATTCCGTGCATCATCTCCTCCTTGCTCGTAGCTGTCAGTAGCTCTCTGGCAGCATATGGGATATTAACACGGACTGGGATCGTGTTTGCGTCGATTCAAGGTCACTGAAGGACTCGCAGGGGTTAGCTTAGTGGAAACTGCTCTTTTCTCACTGCTTGAGGTCTGTAGTTGGGTGTCTGGACATATTGCCCATGGCTGTCGAGTCAATACGTTACTTAACCGGTGTTGCAATATTGAACTTTCTTTAGCAAGAGGCTGTCTAGGCGCTGTGTTTTTCAGGGTGCTGTGTTGTTCAGGGCACGGTTGCCTTGATTCATTGATGGCACCATTATGTCTAGAGAGATTTTTGCTTTTAGCCTCTTTGCCCTGAAACCCCTGTTGCTCCACTCCAGCACTGCCTACAAGTTCCTTCGTGTGTTCCAGGTGACTCCATAGGAAAAGCAGCGAGCGAGCGTTTCAGACCCGAGTTTCGTGTAGATTGGCAACGTGTTGCAAGCTCCGGCTGCAGATATGGGTGCATGTGATTTCTTCTCTCATTCAAGATGCAGCTGCTATAAACTGAATTCAGGATTTTAAAGCTATATTGTGCTTCTTTTGCTGCTCACATCCTCACCCCAAGAGCATTTGCAATGAGTAACCTCACCCACAGCGCTACAGAAGTAGGAAGCATTTGCAAAGCCAACAGCAGAAAACCTTTGGTGGTAAAGCAAGCAGGTGTGACCCAGATGTGTCCAGAGCAGATGCACTGAGTAAAGAGGTTTCCATGTGGCTGTTCCTTGGCAATAATTGCAGTTAAAAGCAAAGGAAAAAATTCTCATGAGCGGCTCACACTAAAGATCTGATCTGTGAACCTGGAAGACCAGCTCTTCTGTGTTTTTGACAGAGTAAAGCAAATGCCAGTCAGTGTTTCAAGCTCTGCTTGTTGAAATGTGCTGAAGATTCTGCTAAGAAATGTACTTGAAAGGCCTCTAGCAGGTTTTTATCTGGGTGCTGAGATACCCAGCTGCTAGAACAACTAGGAATTTAGCACAGAAATATGCGATTCTATTTTAATCCTCTGGGTAGGTGACTCTTCCCCCTGCTTTGCAGAACAGAGTTCCTGGTATTATTATTCAGACTGTTCTTATTTTCACCTAAGATATCACGATGTTCTGAAATGGGGTAGACTGAAAACAAAAAAGCACAACTTTCTCCATGCAGTGATTATGCAAACCCCATCTGGGCCTTGGGGCCAACCTTTTAGTCACTGCTGATCCTGGCAAACACGATCAGCAGGAGCCAAGTATTGCGAACGCTCTGGTTTTGATAATGTGGCTTCACAAAAGACTTTCTGAATACACAAAGTGTAAAGCAACGCTCCGACAGCCGCAGCTATACTGTGATTTATATGCTTTCTTTGGAAGCTGGCTTAGGTGTGCTGCAGCCAACCCTCTATCAGCCTCTTAGGTCACATAAAAGAGGCTGAAATGTTTTTGGCTCCCGTTCCTGAAGAGGTTTCTTCATCGCTCTGTGCTACACCAAAGCTCATCAACGAGCTAGTCAGCATTTTTCTTGTTTGCTCAGCATCAGCTGAATGCTGCTTCCCAGTACCGTGAGGCTTGTCTAGAGGACAGTCATACAAAGAGGATCGCTTATCTTCCTGCACTTGAGCAGAAGGTATTTAATTTTTAAGTAAATATTTTTGCCATAACCTCAGGCTTCCCCCCCGCCCCGACCCTGCCCTCCAAGCTTGATGGTTGCAAATACTCCCCTTGTGCAGGCACTGGAATGAAACCGATACAAACCAGAAGAATCTGAGGTGCAGTCAGCCCATCTCCCACCCCAGGCTGGGGGTTAATTCCCTGTAGCCTCACAGGCTCTGCTTCTCCGTTTGATTTTTGGCATTGCAGAAAGCAGGCTGAAGGGGGAGACTTCACCCTGAACTCCTTCAGCGCAGGCAAAAGCCTAGAAGGAAATAAATCAGCCTTGAATTCTGGCCCGAAGGTCAACAAGAGTGACGCTGGAGCAGATGGCCCGGGTGCCTGGCGGGGGGATGTCGTGTCCTCGAGCATCAGACGATCTCGTCTGCACCTCCCGGACGCCCACCTCTGCCGTGACACCACCAGAGCATCTTCACACCCCTACGGCTTCGGCCTGGCCTGCAGAGCGGTGACAAAAGGTCTCTCTGTGTGTTTATAAAAGTCAGAAAAGGTTCAGTTACAGTGAATTCTGCTCCCAGGCTTATTCACACGTGTGGGATCAGATGTCTGGTCTCTCCGTGCCGCCTCCCCGCTGACTGTAACCGCGGCGTTGGGTCAGTGCCGGTTCCGGGGGAAAAACACGCTCCGTGGCAGCTCCAGGGAGGGCTCAGCTGGTTGTTTGAGCTCGATCCTGCTGGGGCAGGATACTCGGCTGCAAGTGGCACTGCAGACCGGCTGAAAACAATGAAACAAGGGTAAACTGCTGTTGGCTTTAGCAGGGGTTGGAAGGCTATTTATAGCTGCTTCAGATGCACGTAGGTATAATAGCTACAGTCAGGGTAATGAACAAACCCTGTTTCTTTTTCCATAACACAAGAAAAGGTGGCTGAGGGGCATATTGTGCTGGGGAGGTTCGTAACAGCTACGCTGCCCCGATTATTTACCAGTTGCCTATCTTCTCAAGGAGCCTTGAGCAAGCTCTGCCAAGCGATACAATGGCCATATTGTAGCTTGTGGTTCTGATGTAATTCCCACCAAACACACTTTCCACAATGAAAACTTGAAGTGGCTTGAAACCAAACTCCTTGCCCTTTCCATCCCCTGCACGCAGAGCTGTGTGAAATTCAACAAACATGCTCGGCCGGGCTTGCTCAGCACAACCACACTCCCAAGCCCTGCAGAAGTCCCACTATCTTCTAGTCAATAGAGACTATAATCGGCACAATGCCTCTAATAAAGGCTGGTCCTCACAGTGTTTGCCTTGAATTCTTATTTTAGGCTTTTCTTGTAATCTTACTTAAGGTCCATGTGGTTAACTTTCTTGCTAAACATGTGATCCTGTTTTGCAGAGAAGCAAAATAAGCTTGAGAGAATAAAAACTGAAGGCATTCTGCTCACAGATTGCCAGCAGAGAGGTGGCTTTGAATTTATCAGAATGCTCGTGTGGCACAGGAAAATATTAGCTGTCTGGGACTCTCAGGAAAGAGACTTGCCCCTGTGATAACTTTTAAAGGAGTTTTATCTGGGCATTACGGTGACTCCAGCGTGGAGATATGTCAGGGACTTGTTTCTTTTAATAGCTGTGCCTTACTCGGGAATTCTCTGCTACTTTCTCCACCAAAACACAACAGCTCAGCCAGCTGACTCAGACCTGTTGCCCTCATCCCTGTTTTCTTGCCTTTTCCCTTAGAAAAGAGTTTGGCATCTCCTTTCAGCATTTCCAGCGTAGCCTGGTTTGGGGTCTCCCAGGTAGAAAGTGGATGTTTAAACTGCTGAAGAGCTTGAGATCGGGCAGCGATAAAAGTATCTAAAGAGGAAACTGTGGGCACAACTACTCGTGAATGAAGGGTCCCTACTTGAAGGGAGGGTGGGTTTTTGGGTGGCTGGCAATCCTCGGGCACCCTGTGTTCAGGTTTTGATGTGCAGGTCCGGGTGCATCTGCCCGTTCCTCTGCTTCCAGCCGAAGGTGTGAGAGCATCGCATCTGCGTTTCAGGTTTGGGGGGAGGCGAGTGGGGCTGCTTTAGGCAGCAGGTTCTCCCTCTGCATGCATTTGCTCCTCTGCAGCAAACCCAGAACCCTTCCACCCCCTGAGCAGCCAAGGAGCTGCCCAGCAGCGGGGCCTGCCAGGCTCAGCTGTGTCACAGCTGATGCCACAAAATCTGCTGATCTCACGATGAAGTAACTTGTGTACTCGAGGCTGATAAATTGATTTGACCTCGTGGTGCAGCTGGAGTAGCCTTTGTCCGCTCAGTAAAGGAGGGAACGAAACGCTGTGCCACGTTAAAACCTCCCCTGCCTGCTTTAGATGTCTTGGGTGCTGATGCTTGCAGCGTTTCCCAGCTCAGATCTCAGGAGCGATGGGAAATTCTCAGGAAGTTTTGTGATACTCAGCCTAAACTTCCCTTTCTTTTATCTCCTATAACTTAATATTCCTGTGCCGTGACACAGCCCAGCTTCCTGCTTAGTCTTTAGACCCTCCTGTAGAACGTGGAGCTGCTATCAAGCCCTCCCAGACAAGGCCAAACTCCACAGTGGTTGTAGCTGGGATACACGGATTTAGTTCTCCGTACGCCCACTGAAATCACCAGGTCGGGGCCTCTTTTCAGGCCATAATTGAAGACACAAGCCTGAATTGGAATCGTGTTTATAGCCAGGGCAATCTCTGGACTCAAGGACCTAAAAACTTAATCGTTTCCAAAACGGCTGCATATAAAAATAACAACTTAATAAGAAGGACTCATCCTTCTTATCGCTTCTAGCGGGCTGATTGGGTTTTGGTGTGCTGGTATTGTGGGTTTGCTGCTGGAAGGCTGGAGCCGTGTGCTTCCCTCGCAGGAGCTGCAAGTACAGATGAATGTGGTTTTAGTTTTGCTGTTATTCAGACATATACTAACCCAGAGTGGTTTTTTAAAACGTGTTACTCCTCATAGTCCCGTTCTGGAAGGGAAGCCTGGGTGCCTCGATGGGGGTTTTTGGCTGTGACACCACCTGCACTTGAGCATTGCTTAGGCAAAGCAGAAATATTCTGAGACTTGACAGTGGGCAATTTTCAACAAGCCAGACTACAAAACCGGCCTTCGTTTCAGTGCTTTGTGTGAAGTACTCATTCTTTCATCCCTTTTCTTTGGGTAAGATCACAAAATCTGTTAGCTTGCGTTTCATGAAGGTGTTTGAAGAGCATGTATTTACTTCAAAGATCATAAATGTCCTTGAGTTTAAAAATCTTCACAGAAGTGATTAACGTTTTGCTGAGGCAGTTGTGGAGCGGCAGATTTTAAATGGTCCTTGAAGTAGAGGAATTTACAACCTGATTTTGAAGAGCGTGGAGGAAGCTCTCCTTTCTACGCGTCTGAAGAGAAGGCTTTGGTGCTGGGGAGGAGATCTGGGTATTGGAGGGCACATGAGATCTTGCGATGGTTTCTACAAGCAGAGTGGTGGCATTTATGCAGCTTTGTCATCTCGGGCACTGAGAATTGGGAAATGGCAGGTGCCTGGAGAGGAGCAGGTTCAAAGCGAGAGCCTGGAACGGGGCTGGGGGGTGAGAGGGGTTGGGGTGCAGCCCTGGCTCCCACCACAGCCCGCTGCATTTTCCCTCCGGGTGGCTCCGGCAGCAGCTCTGGAGCTGCCTGTGCACAGATCACACCTGCACGGGCCACCGAGCCCGGTGCTGGAGCAGCTTCTGCTTTTCTGCTCGTCCTTCCTTCCTGGAGAGCCGCTGCTGCGGCAGGCCGAGGGCTCCGAGGGGCACAGCTGCTCTGCAGCACGCGGGGAGCGAGCGGCTACCCTGAAGTTTTGTGGCCTAATTCTCGTAGCAGTGCTGCTGTGGGAGCGTGAGCGCTCGCTGCCTGCGCGCAGGGCCCTGCTTTTCCCTCTGTGCTTTATCCGTGACTGCACTGACCAGAAATGCAGGAAGGATGAGGACGGGGCAGACTCTGCAGTGCAAGTTCTGATTTATTTACTACCCTCAACCCGTAACAGCCTTCAAGCATCTTGAGTAAAGTCCCAGCTTTGGTTCCTGGTTTAAATTATATGGTTTATTCTGTATCTGGCCATCTGGATCGCACTGTGGACTCACCCAGGAGTGCAGTGGTGGCTCCAGACCTTGGCCAGGGTGGCCGGATCCCAGCCAGGAACCTGCCGCTCGCCCTCAGGCTGGCGCGGTCGCAGCCGGTTCTCCTGAGCACCACAAATGCATCTGCAGCTCTCACACGCACACACACACACACACACACACGCCACGGAGAAACCTGAAAGTGCATCTGGCTTTGCATTTCAAACCCAGCACCTCGCTGGTTGTGTTACAGCCCCTGGGTGATGGCTCCAGGTAACACCTGATGTAAATACCTTTGCACTCTTGCTTTTTTTTTTTGCTTTTTTTTTTTTTTTTAATGCGTGGTCTAAAAATAAGGTTGGAATGTGCTGCAGTGACTCAGGGTACACAATCTGCAGCACCAGGGTGGTGATTGTGTGTAATTGCCCTGGCAGTCCTGCCAGAGGTCTCCACCCAGCTGGCACCAAAGCTGCTGCAGAGAAATCGGAGTGAAGGGGGAGTTCAAAACCAGACCTACCACCACACCAGTTAACTGGGGGGGGGGGCCTTCAGGCTACCCTGCAGACAAGGTCCCTTGAATGTTCTGCACCTCAGCTGGCAGATGTGTCCTGCAGGATTTCACGCTCTCGCAGCCAGGTAATCATTGCCTTTAATGGGAAGGAAATGGAGCTGCACGTCTCTGGGGATGCTCTCTCCTTCCAAAATCCTTGGCCAGATTGAAACTGGAGCAGTTCAAGAGACAAAATACTTGAGCAATTAATGGATCTTCTGGTAAAACCAGAGCTGTGTCCGAGACACGTGCCCCCTCTCCTACATCTGTACTACATGCTGGTGGCTGTTAACTTGTGACACAGATACCCAGGAGGAGGGGCAAGCGGCTGAGCACATCCTTCTCTTCAGCTGGCCTCCCTGAAATTTGGGCAGAACCATTTTAGGGCTCCAGGGCCGTACCCCGTGTGGCCGTACCCCTCGGTGGGGTGGCTACTGAGCCCACCACCCCCCTGCCCTGCATGGCTTCGTGCCTTTGGGGAAACCCTGGAGCCTCCACTCAGAGCTTGGGGGTTTCTGTGCTGCACCACAAATAGAAAAGCAAACAAGCTCCTTTCCCACCCAGATTGTGGGAAAAAAAAAAAAAAAAAAAAAAAAAAAAAACTTCTGTGTGTCAAAAAAACCCAAAGCTCCGACACGTTGGCTTGGGTGGTTTCCATCTGGAAACAGACATACCAAGATATTGGAGCTGGAAAAATAAACTCTGAAAAATAAATTGCTCTCAGTATGGATGTGGAATTGAGTCTAAGACTTCTCTTGGTCTAATAATGATGTGATTTTAAGTTTCTAATATATTAAAAACGAGCTGGAGCGCAAGGCTTGGCCCTGGTGACAGCAGCTCCGAAGGTCTGTCACTGCCAGGCTGGAGCTGCTGGTGGCTGCAGGAGGGACATGAAGTATCTTAAAACACATGGCCTAGTTACAACCTGTTGTAAGGAGGCTGTAATTTATCTGGGGAGGGACAGCGTGAGGGGACGTTTTGCAAATCTAAAGGAGCTTACACGGGCGCTTCGGTAACTTGTTTACTGCTAAAGTGAAACGCTCTGGTGTCGCCGCCGCTCTCCCCTGCTCATGGTGCTACTCGAGCTGCAGGTGATGCAGAACAAGGTGTGGAAAATAAGCTGGATGGTTTCAACACTGAAATGTGGACAAACCCTCGTCCCGAGCCAAGAGGCAGCGTGAAGGCCGGTGCTGCCCACCTCTGCCTCTTTAAGGAGAGTTTCTCCATCCTGGGATGGCTCCTCGGCCGAGCTCCTCGCTGCGCTCTCCCCGAGTATTGTCCCACGCCATAGAAATCTGGAGGTCTTAAAGGAGGGGGGGGGAAAAAAAAAAAGAAAAAATTGCTGCACTCAGGAAAAAATTCAATAGCTCATTCAGCTGTTAAGCTACTGATGCAGGAAGTGTAAAAGAAAAATGGAGCCTGCTTTGTTCTGCCCAGACAAGGAGTAAATGCCATTGCCCTAACAGCCTTTTTCTGTTCCAAAAAAGCATGAGGTCATCTCTAAAAGCAGTAACCACCGCACGGGTTTACACTGGGTTACCAGTCCCAGGCTCCCCCCTCGTCCCCCCCTTTCCCTGGCACCAGCCCGGCGCGGGGCTCGGCGCGGGGTCGCTCCGGCGCAGTGCGGGGCT